CCCTCCAGGACCGAGTTTGGACAGCCCTGGTGTAAACTAAATTTGCAATTTTGACTGCAGTATATACATTTTTAGGAGTCATGCCCGTTGATTTCTATGCGCCCAATCAGACATCATAGAATTTTTTTCTGAATTGACTGGAGATTTCAGGTCATCTCTTGAGTAAATCCTTCTTGTTGAGCCCTGATGGAGACTCTTTTACTGAGTGAGTGTAGGCCTGACCCAAGCGGCAGCCTCACGCTCTCTCTCGTGAAACCAACACGGAAGTGACTAAAACTGCAATTCATCGACTGGCCGCTAGAGACTGGCTCCAAAAGGACCCCCCATGTTAAAATGCCCAACTTTACAGCAGAAAAAACATGTTTACAGCCTGGTACAAAAAGTGATTTTAGTCTATATAGCTAATTTTGCTTTCATGACAACTGTGAGCGGGGTGATTTTTTTTTTTTTATAACTCATCAGTTTAAATTATATTAATCCTTAAAGGGGTCATATGATGCTATTTTAAAGATCATTATTTTGTGTATTTGGTGTAACAGAATATGTTGACATAATTAAGGGCGTGGCCACTTGAGTGACAGGTTTATTGCTGCTGCTGTCACCACTGTCGAGCTAGGTGGGTGTGGCTTCAGCAATCACTTTGGGCTTCAAAAATGCTCTTCAGAAATCTACGGGTGACGTCACGGATGTCCATGTTTTTGTACAGTCTATGGTCTGACAATAGTAATCATTTCTTGTACAAGGATCTTGAGGGCTGGTGTACGATGTCGGACTTTGAGCTGCCGGAGGAGAGCCAGAGCTCTGAGCTGCTGCAGTTTCGTCTGGAGGGCAGCACCCTGCAGGAGCTCAGCAAGGGCAGCAAAGGGGAGCTCATTCCCATCTCACCCGGCGGGGCGACGCCTCCGTCCATCCTGAGCCGCCGCAGTCGCCGCCGCATCGCCCTGTCCCCAGACCCCAACGACTCCATGACCCCCAAGAGCACACCCGTCAAAATCCTGCCTTTCTCTCCTTCACAGGTACCAATGCGTCTCATACCACTGCCATATTTGCACCTAAATAGGATCCAGATCCACCAGTTAGCACTAGGGGTCAACCAATATACTGGCTAATCTTTGGCAGTTTTTTGTATTTTTATTATTAGTATTATTATCGACATTGGGCGATGTTTTGGAAGCAGGACTTTTATTTTGATGGCACAATATATGAAAGTCAGACTTATTGTGCTGAGTGCACTGCTAGTTAGAGAGTTGAATTCCTTTTTATTCGTATTTTCAACAGTTTCTTTATTTGTGAAGAATGCGATAAGTTTACAGGCAAAATCAAGAAGTCGCCATCTGAACAAATCTGTTTATTTTACAATTGTTATTTTTTTAATGAGGTTCAAATGTTTTGATTATTTAAGTTATTTCTAATTTGAATATCATGTAAAATAAATATAAATTTCACCAGCAGTTGTTATGCATGTTTTTACACTCTTAATTTGTCTCGTATATCAGCTTTTTATCAGCCACCTAGCCCTGCTCTCTAAGATATCAATATGCATCAGCCATCTTTTCCAGCTAATTTTAATCTATTATGATTCACTGTTGATTCAGTGCACTGAGGCGTTGTTTTTATTGACTTCCGTTCAAACAAGTTGTTGACTGTTCCAAGATTTTTTTTTTTTTTAATGTGACAATATCTGCTTGTGTATAGCAAACACCCATTCACAAATCCTTAGATAGAAACCATCAAACATGTTTGATTCAGAAAGGCTTCACAGTGGTAGCTCGTTTATTTACTGTAAAGGAGTTCTGAGTTTTAATATTATGTTGCTGTTTCAACAGTTCCTTAATATGTGGACCAAGCAAGACACGCTGGACCTGGAGAATCCTTCTCTGACGTCGACTCCTGTCTGCAGCCAGAAGGCCACCGTCACGACACCCCTGCACCGCGACAAAACCCCGCTCACGCAGAAGGAGAACTCACTGTACGTCTCAGCGCTCACAGAGAGCTTTATTCACATCTTTTGAGTTCAATGCCACTGTTAAACTTTTCATTTGCCCTCCTGTAGGTTTATCACACCAAATCACAAATCTGATCTGGACACGACTCCCCGAACCCCCACTCCTTTTAAAAACGCCTTGGAGAAATACGGCCCTCTGCGGCCCCTGGTGAGAAGTTTACTTGTTATTGTCACGTTTAAGAAAGTTTAAATCTCACATACAACTCACTGATGCTCAGCCTCCTGTTTGATATTCTAGTTTTGATACTGAGTTTTTTGTCTCTCTTTTGGTTCTCTTAAGCCTCCGACCCCAAATTTGGAGGAAGACCTTAAAGAAGTGTTGCGCAGTGAGGCAGGAATTGAGCTGATAGTAGAAGATGAAACTCCTACAGAGAAGAAACGCAAACAAGTGGTAAGACGGCACACGGAGAAGAAGTAATATCATGTACAAGCAGTTTCCGGATTATATATATATATATATTTTTTTTTTTGAAAACGGCATAAAATACTGACATGGCATAAAACATCCAAATACATACAATAAATGTGACTTGTTTATTTGCCAGTTTGCGGTTATATTTAATTATTTGTGTCTCTTGTAACAGTACCGGCCGCTGAAAGTGCGCAAGTCTTTGGCTCTGGATGTCATTGACTGCAGTGAGACTGTTGCTGCACGAAAGCAGCAAATTAAACACGCAGTCAAAACAAGTCAGAAGGTACAGAAACCGGGCCGAGGGGGTTGCATTTGCCCAGTATCACTGAAAAGATTTAAGGCATGTTTTGTATTTTGAAACCCCAGGCTCACATGGCACGGTCGCTCGCTCTCGTGTCCTCTTGTGGTGTGAAGCAGGAAGAGAACGTGTTGGATCAAGGATTTATTCTTGGCCCGAATGAGAGCGGGCTGCCCACTAAACCTGTGCCTCCCACACTGAAACGGAGTCCTCCATTACCTGTAAGTGCTGTTAAATCAGACAACCACGTTTACAAAATATAGTTTATTATCATTTTTAATAACACAGATTATAACAACAGCTAGTATGATTAGTTTTTCTGTTTTGTCTCGGTTCATAACTGTTAAGTGTTTTACTATGCAAAACTGTTTTTGCACTGATGACAGACAGTGGTTACGTGTTGTTAAAGGGATAGATCATCTAAAAATGGAAATTTTCTGAAAATGTGCTCACCCTCCGGCCATCCCAGATCAGGATGAGTTTGTGTCTTCATCAGATTTGTAGAAATGTAGCATTGCATCACTTGCTCACCATTGGAGTGAATGGGTGCCGTCAGAATGAGAGTCCAAACAGCTGATAAAAACATCACAATAATCCACAAGTAATCCTCACCACTCCAGTCCATCAGTTAACATTTGGAGCAGACAAAAGCTCTCATTCTATGCTACATTTCTACAAATCTGATGAAGACACAAACTCATCCTAATCTGGGATGGCCTGAGGGTGAGCACATTTTCATCAGTTTCTTTCTTTTTTTCATTCTTTTTTGGGTGAACTATTCCTTTAAATAAAAAGTGTTTATTTCACTAGACAAAAATGCATTACCACATGGTTATTTAGCATTTAAAGCATTTTACTGTTGAGTTTATCAACAATAATTAAATCCTGATACATACTGTAACCATGATTTAATAAATATATATAATCTCTTCTTCTTCTGATAGATGTCTCCAGCCTGGGAAACTGTTGTCTGTGGACGGACAAAAGACCAGCTGATCATGACAGAGAAAGCAAAGCGGTACCTTCGCTCTTTAAAATCTCATGCCCCAAACCGAGTGCTCATACTTTCCTGATCCCACGCCGAGTCCCAATGCAGCTCCTGGATATTTTTTTTACAAAGCATAATGTGTAAACTTTGTGTTGATTTAAAAAAAAAATTTGAAATGTCATGTAGAATATGAAACCAATTACTTGTTCCAGAACAGACACTTTAATGCTGATAATGCTTTTGTCCGGTTTTCTGTGGCATATTAGCACATTCAGAACACTTCATTTAACCCTGTATAATAAGTATTGCTATTTTGTTTTATTTATGTGTTGTCAACCTGCTTTTGATGTGGCTGCAAATATAAAATGTCAAGCATACCAAGCCGAGTAAATAATCAGGTTACTGTTCAGGGATCTCAGTATCGTTTTGTATTCTGTTCAAATTTTCTGCATTTCTGTAAGGATAACTAGACATCTGCTAGACGCAGCTCGTGTGATGTACTGGCTGAATATACAGTCTGTATTAAAAGAAATAGGTTGACATTTTTCCTGGCTTTAGGAGGGTCAACATATTACACATTTTGAAGTTTTGTAAAGTAACCTTTAGGACCTCAGGCTAAGGCCTTAATTCAGTGTGCATAGAAACATGAAAACGTGTTTTGTCTGAAAAACAAAAAAATGTAGGCTATTGTATGCTACAAAAGAAAAATAAAATGGCTGTTGAACGTCTTGATGGCAACACTTAGACCATGTATTTCTGTAACTAGCATATTGAAAAATACAGAATCTATGACATGCAGTGACAGTATTGCGCTAAATCAAATGTATATAACTGAGCTTGTAACACATTGCAGTAGTTACAGCATTTAAGTAGAGGTAAAGTTTTTGTTGTTTTATGTGAGGTTACGTTAGATGAGTTTTTCCCCAAGGAACATAAATGGGCTGACCAAAAGTTCAAATCTGCTCTTTTTACAAAAAAAATAAATAAAAACGACAGGTGTGGATTCATATCACTTATAAACAAATTGTTGTGTCATATCCAATCAAAATAAGTGTCAATATATGCAACAAGTGTTTAAATGTGTGAGCTCTTTAATTAAACCACATAGAAAGAATACGGAATGCAAATCAAACACATACTCAAAATGACCTTTAAGTCGATGTTTGTTACATTCTGAGATCATTTGCACTTGCTACACTTTGAATATTTTCCACTTTTTTAAATATGTTTTAGGTATTTGGTTAATTGGTGTTCACAGCCCTCTTCAACCAAACCACTACATCCGGATAAGACCTCGATGCAGATGCCTAAAACTGAGTCCAACAATCACATGATTGCATTGTGCTCTTACTGTAACACCATAAAATAGATTTTCAGATAGGGAATCTCATCTTTATACATTTAATGCTGCACATTTAAAATGTATAATGACAGTAGGTGATACCAAGAACTGCTGCCTCGCTATAAGCATTTGAGTAAAAGGATCCAGTATATTAAATAATGGAAAATCAGTTCTGCTCAACAAAACAAGCTCACGACAGCAATGTTCCTATGATCCAGCAGTTCCACCTGTAGTTCATGATTCACTGAAAGACGAATTAAAATGAGTCGGTTCGACAGAATGGGAGAGATGGCAGTGACTGCTGAACAGCTTCAGCTCTGGATCTGCTGTGAGGTCTAAATTAGCACCATTCAGTTATTGCTGTGCATTACATTATATGATAACAGTAATGTAACTGTCCGAAGGTCAGATTCAGTTCCTCTGTCTTCAGGAGTGCTGTGAGCACAAATAGGTTTGTTTTCAGTGTGCAAGGTCATTCATCTCTCAAACCACCTTTCATACATTTGAGTGTCTTTGTCATGCTACAGTACTGTAGAGGGAACTGGAAAGTCAAATTTGATCACTATTATCTCTCAGTAAGATTTATTCAAGGTTTCTCAGGGAGACAGTCCCTGTCATTACTGCACCGCAACATGCTTTAGATAAGAAGTTTATTTGAGCAGTTGATAAACACGCATGAATCAGGGATGATCAGTCCGGCCTAAAATCATGACCCATGTGATTCATGCAAATCAGTAATAAAATAAAAAATAAATAAATTGGGAACACACTGCAAATTGTAGTAATGATGCAGAAAATTCTGCTTTGCATCACAGAAATAAATGACATTTTTTTAATATATTAAAATAGAAAACTTTTTTTTTTTTAATTGTAGTATTTCACAATATTGCTGTTTTACTTTATTTTGATCAAATAAATGCCGCCTTGATGAGCAGAAGAGATTTAAAAATCATTAATAATGGCAATGTTTCCAAACTTTTGGCAGGTACTTTAATAATAACAATTCTATTAATACTTTTATTATATTATATATGATTAATTATTATCATGATTATTAAATGCTGCTTTTTATTTTTACAGGACAATAGTATGTATTATTACTATATAAGATATATATATATATATATTTTAATGTGCTAAAATATACATATTTTTTAAATAATAAGTGCTGTGGTCGTGGTCAGATTTTCCTGCTTGTTTGTCTCTAGCTGGATCACATGCCTGATGAATAACATTGATTCTATCAGTCAACAGTGTATAGACTCTTTTTTTCACATAATAAAAAACACACTACAAATTATATTTACAATTAAGCGAAAGAAAAAAAAAATCCATAAATGATTGCATATCTCTTAAATAAGTGAATACAAATACATCTGCTTATAACCTGATGCGGGGTTGCCAAATTTCATGTATTTGCCATAAAACAAATTATTTCAGCCAGCACACACTACCCAACTAAATCTCACGCCAAATAACAAGAAAATGCAAAATAAATGGAATAATTTAGATTAAAATATGCATTTTCATGCATTCATAACTGTAAAGGCTCTGTCAGTCACAGGTGACTTTAAATAAGTGAATACAAATACATCTGCTTATAACCTGATGCGGGGTTGCCAAATTTCATGTATTTGCCATAAAACAAATTATTTCAGCCAGCACACACTACCCAACTAAATCTCACGCCAAATAACAAGAAAATGCAAAATAAATGGAATAATTTAGATTAAAATATGCATTTTCATGCATTCATAACTGTAAAGGGATCTTAATAAATGTTTCTTTACAATAGGCCCTAGATAATCCAACTGAAGAAATACATACATAAGATACTTTATATGATGAAGAGATTTAATTTAGGCTTTCATTTCCATCTTAACAATGATCAACACATACATGAAGCATATCAAATATGGTAAACGCAGAAGCTCAGAGGTGTGGGAGATGCACAAGAACCAATGAGGTTTTGTTCACAAGCTTCTGTGTTTACCAGATGTGATGCTCTCTGTGTATGTGGATGTAAAACACCACAATAATCCATAACTCCGACTCCAGTTCATCAATTAACATCTTGTGAAGTGAAAAGGTGTGTGTTTGTAAGAAATAAATTCATCGTTGAGGTATTTTAAGTCCATAATCCATAAAAATGCTCCCTCAAACCATTAGGCTACAAATCTTTCATAGTGCTCATGATATGTCCCTGAAGCTACTCAGATGACTGCCTTTAATCAGCCTGCCCTGTTGAAAAAAACAGCATATGCTGGTTAGGTATGTTTTGACGCTGGGATGCTGGTTTAAGCTGGTCCTTTGCTGGTTTATGCTGGTCCTTTGCTGGTTTATGCTGGTCCTTTGCTGGTTTATGCTGGTCCTTTGCTGGTTTATGCTGGTCCTTTGCTGGTTTATGCTGGTCCTTTGCTGGTTTATGCTGGTCATGTGCTGGCAAAGGACCAGCAAAGGACCAGCTTAAACCAGCAAAGGACCAGCATAAACCAGCAAAGGATCATCTTAAACCAGCAAAGGACCAGCATAAACCAGCAAGGACCAGCATAAATCAGCATCCCAGCGTCAAAACATACCTAACCAGCATATGCTGTTTTTTTCAACAGGGTGGTCATGGTTTGTATTTATATTATTATATTTATTAGTATATTTATATTTATAGGCTATTACATGGTGGTTTTGGGGTCTTTGAGACATCCATGAGCACACTGACATCCCTGTACAAATATATTACACGCAGATTAACCGTCCTCTTTTTAATACAAAAACTGGACTGTTTTTTCAAACGTGTTGTTTGCTGCCTCATGAGTTTCGTTTTCGTTTGTTTCAAAAACCAGTTGAACTGAAGGTGACCGCTTATTTCATTCAGCTCAGTTCTCGGTAAGTACAAGATTAAGAGCCAGTTTTGTACTTCTTGTGTGTCGGTAATATTGTCGACAGTATTATGGAGCTAATATTCTCGAAATGCGCTGTAAATATAATAACGATATTGTCCTTCACTTTGACCGTCAACAATCAACGTATGCAGTCTAAAGAATCATCATAATAATGCATACTATGTGAAGACAGAAATCAAGACGCACTAAATGCTCGAAAGGCTTTTAAATTTTGTTTTGCTTCACAGAACTACACCCTTCACAAAATGAAAATGAAACTAAATGTGTTTCACTGTTATTTTGTCAAAGCGACCTGACAACAAATGCGGGGTGCAATTCAACATCGACATTATCTTATTAGCAATAGTAGCAAGTTATTCTTAGGCCTTTCTCTTTTTTTTGTGTGAAATAAACAAGACTCGTTCCTACTATTTACTTAAAGCTAAAGTTTTCTTTCAGTTGCCGTTCGGAGGAACAGACCGTCAAAACAATGGACATTGACGAATATGTGAGTATGAATATCTCTATCTCTCTCTCTCTCCACACACACACTGGATCTAAAGATTGGAGACCACACTGAAAAACTTGACAGAATAAGAAACACTGCATTGATGATGTGCAGAAGATGCTATTTACTTCTCAAATCATGCTGGATAACATGGATCAGCTTATAGACTCCATACATGCTTTCTGTTACAGTCACAGACGCTTGACAGCTTCTGCCCTCCTAATACAACTTCAAACATGTGTTTGCAGATAAAGTACAGTTTATTAAAATATGATTGTGATACACTGATAATGATTACCAAACAATATATACCCTATCAATTTCTCCTGACATCTGTACCACAATTAAGTGTTTAAATATTCAAAAACACTATGTCTTTCTTAATAAACTAACCCTTCAAGTCTTCTCACATTTTATAAAATGTCAATGCTCTGTTTTTATGACTTAAGGCAAATCCTGCACTGTAAAGACGCCCTTTGACTGGATAAGCGCTCAAGATAAATATAATAAACTAGGTAATTTTCCTGAATTCACATGCTACCATGATCATAAGACGTCAGTTCAATAATATACAAAGGCAGTGGGAGAGGCAGAACAATTAATAAAATATAGCTGCAAACAGCGATGATGGGCCCAAGCCCCGGTGGCACGGCCACCCCGGTGGTTTGAAGAAAACGGTGCACAGCAGGCACATGCATTCAGTCATCTGGCAGTCTGGTTGTTGGAATTACAACAATGAAAGGGTTACTCTGGAATCGAGTGTGAAACAGATACACACAAAGATCTATCTAACTAATGGAAGCTGAGAGAAAAGGGATTAGACTTAAAATATTTCTTATCCTATGACTCCATCTAGTGGACAACCTTAGTATTACAGCCTTCATCTGTCAGCTGAAATGTCTGATGTCTGCGGTTAGGCCCCAGAGAATCAGAAATTCATGAAACTAAGCATGTTTCCACAAAATGACTTGTTCTCCATATGTAAAAGGTTTTGAGGAGTTGGGACAATGCACTTTAAAGATATAAGACACTTACTGTTTCCATTTTTTGTTCCCTTTACTTTAATAAATCGCCATGGCAAAACCATTCAAGATATCAAAAAACCATTCACAATTTAGCATCTTCAGTATCTTGGCATCATGTTAACAAATTTGGTTTGAATTGCATGATTCTCCTAGGAGGAGTATGCAATAAGGCACATCCTGAATTTAAAAAAAAAATCCAGATTCAAACCAAAATAGCCAACTTGCTGTTGGTCGGAGCTAATGACTAAATTTGAAAGTTGTCTGACTTGATGAGAGCAATATATGTACCGAGTTTGGTGACTGTAGCTAAAACTAACCCCCTTACTTTTGTCAAAAGGTTGCGCTATAGAGCACCTGCTCCATGCCCATTTATGAGCTTTTGCCAGTGTCTAACTATCATTAATGCTGATGTGTGTATCGAGTTTCATGAAAATCTAAGAATGTTAAGTACCTCATGAACACCTGAGAATAATATTAAAGTTTGACGCATTGCCATAGCAACAGTATTTAAGATATCAAGAATCCCTTCACAGCTTTACATCTGCCATGTTTTGATAATTCTGATGAAGTTTGAAGCAAATCGGGTAAAAATAAGAGTTGTTTGGGCTGATGAGCTCTATATGTGTATGAACTTTGGTGACTGTAGGTGAAACGGTGTGTGCTACAGAGCTCCCTGAAAATGGCCATTTAGAAAGTATGTGGTACGGGGCCCTTCTGTGATCCCCCCATGAGAATCTCTGTCTGCCCTGATGAACGCAGATTTCAATGTGTGTGCCAAATTTCAAGAGTTTTTGAGCATGTTAAGGGCCCCAAAAGCCCGAAACGATTGAATAATAATAATAATAATAATAATAATAATCCTTATAAAAACAATAGTACTAATAATACTAATAATACTAGCTACGTTTACGTGGGCAACTTTTGTTTAAATCGGAATGAAATCATTCTGATTGATGAATCTGAATGTGATGTTTACATGAATGCTAAGCTACAGACACAAATGATTATTATGGTAGATAATTTAATAAAAATATTATTATAATATAAAATATAGATAAAATAGTGATTATGAACTACCTGATTGTGTAAGTGAAATTGACATAACTTCATAAGCATGTAAAACCCTTGTGTTGTACACTTTCAATAAAATTAAATTAAATTAAAAAGGCCATGATTAAGGTGTTTACATGAAGACTTTTCAGTCCAATTGAGCCATCAATTCAATTACTAACAGATTATTTGGTTGCAGGTAAACACATTCACCATTTATTAGTAAACTCTTTAAAATGCATCATGTCTTTTTCCTTGAGCAAGTCTTCCTGTCGCTTTTTTTTTTTTAGCTCCTATTAAATAGTAACATACAGTATTGAGAATAGTGGTTGGTTTGTGGCAATCAATGAAAACAAATTACTATGGCTATTGCTGTATTAAAATTAAAATATAACATTGTCATTTTAGCTTCTTTTTTTTCAGTTGCTTGAAATGTTTGCTTTATTTGATGTGCAAAACATGCAACAGCGTTTAGGCATGCATTTTGCCCCCATAAGAACAAATGGGTAAATGTGGTAACTGAGATTTGTTTTTCCTCGCTCTAAACCTCCTCCACAGTATGTAGTTCACAGTATTTATTGTTTGTGTCACATGTGTTAAACAATAGAAAATTGCAATAGGCTGCAGTCTGTTGTATTTACAATACATCCTACAGTACGTAAAAAGTATGAAGGTTTACTGGGACGAGATTTACTGAGTTGAAATATATAAATAGATTTACTTATTGAAATATATAAATAGTGTTATATTTTTTTAAATTACTGAAATAATTTTTTAAACATTGTATTATGGTTTTTTTTTTTTTTAATGTTAGGACTTGTATACAGCAGGCACTGAGGGTCAAGATGCTGGACCATCTCTGGATGACATCTATCAGCCATACTTCCTGTCAGAGGAGGTACTGACTAAAGAATAGAGCAATAGATTTTCTGAGCACCATTATCTTTCCAGAATATCAGCAATATCAAATGCATGAATTAATAAATGCCAAAGCATATTGTGCAAATGAAAATTGATTGTTTCGTTACAATACATATATTTGTGATAATTATCAAACAACAATTTTACTGGTAAATTGAAACATTATTTTTTCACATTTTTGTTCCCAGACTTTATATCTGTTGTCTGGTGTTTATCTGGTGTAATCATACCATTCACACCAGTTTAGAATTCAATCTCACCAGATTTTTTTAATGTTAGGACTTGTATACAGCAGGCACTGAGGGTCAAGATGCTGGACCATCTCTGGATGACATCTATCAGCCATACTTCCTGTCAGAGGAGGTACTGACTAAAGAATAGAGCAATAGATTTTCTGAGCACCATTATCTTTCCAGAATATCAGCAATATCAAATGCATGAATTAATAAATGCCAAAGCATATTGTGCAAATGAAAATTGATTGTTTCGTTACAATACATATATTTGTGATAATTATCAAACAACAATTTTACTGGTAAATTGAAACATTATTTTTTCACATTTTTGTTCCCAGACTTTATATCTGTTGTCTGGTGTTTATCTGGTGTAATCATACCATTCACACCAGTTTAGAATTCAATCTCACCAGATTATTCCCTCCCTCAGTATTTTAAGAGCCGAGGATGGTCTACTGTGTCTGATTTTCTTTATTACTGCAGCCATTTGTGAATTTGCAAATACAAATGACAATTAATAGATAAAATGCTCTAATAATACAAGCAATATCAACAATGGAACTTCAGAGTCTGCATTTATAACTGTTTTTCCTCTAACAGGACATTTATACAGCTGGTGATGAAATGCCACAACCCTCAGCACCACTGGATATCGCTAAATTTAAAATCAAAGTGGACTGGACAGAACCATTTCCAGAGAGATGGAGAGCTAGATTACAGAAAGCCCTTCAGAGCTGGTTGTCCAGACTGGAAGGAACAGCATCAGTCCACAGCGTTAAACTCATGGATGATCCATCATGTGCAGAGGTGCAGATAACACCATCAACAGGTGAGATAATATCATATACAATACATTTTTCACTTTAAATCTCATGGATGCTAGTATCTGAAATAGCTCAAATACATACAATATTAATACAGAAGGGCAAATACCAGTGTTGGGGGTGTTAACATGTTACTGGTAACAAACATTACAATTACAGATTTCTTTTAGAAGTAATGAGTAAAGTAGTAAAGTGGAGTGTTACGTTTTGATCCAGTATGTTTTATTTTATTTATTTGAGTATCAAATGGGAAGAGGTGTTTAAAAGGTCAATATTTCCATCTGTCATGCAAAGAAACAATGGTTTGATTTATGGGCCATGGCTCAATTACAAACAAAGGAAATTGAGCTTGTTTTAATGGCAGTAAAATGAGCCTGCTTTAAAGGGGTCATATGATGTTGCTAAAAAGAACATTATGTTGTGTATTTGGTGTAATGAAATGTGTTTATGCGGTTTAAGGTTCAAAAAACACATTATTTTCCACATACTGTACATTATTGTTTCTCCTCTATGCCCCGCCTTTCTGAAATGCGTCGATTTTTACAAAGCTCATCGTTCTGAAAAGCGAGGTGTGCTATGATTAGCCAGCTATCCAGTGCGTTGTGATTGGCCGAATACCTCAAGCGTGTGACGGAAATGTTACGCCCCAACTTGGGCTTGCGGCAACCACATGTGACGACCCCGGGCTGGACTCCGCTTCGTCCACGGTGAAAGCCGATCCGGCGATCGACAGCAATTGAAATCGCATCATATGACCCCTTTAAAAATCCAATACCGGAAGCACAGAAACTGTAAAGTTGGAACATGTTAGAACATTTAGTGCCTCTCATAACTGACTTTACAACAGATAATTGACTGGCATCCCAAATAGCCAATCAAATCACTGTGCTGAGAAGCCATGTGGCCAACCGCCATTTTGCCTGTCAAGTCCATAAAGCTTTTAGATAACTATTGCACAAATACAAACCTTTTTTGACAAATTCCTTTAATTATGGTATAAATGTGTTGTTATGGCTCATATGAACACTAGATTTCCAGAGGGGTTAGTTATTGGAGTTTCATATATTCCGTTCACAAAATCAGCCAGCAATCCAAGAAAAATGAATCAGAGTTGTCCATCTTTATGACTTTTGACCTTTGCTCATTTTATACTTCTGTAATTGAATGTTTTCTCCATTCATTAAAAAGACTGTACAAATAAATCCTGTGAGTTTAGGCAGTTTTGTGTGACTTTCATTAACTTTGTCATAAGGTCAGTTAATTTTAATGTTTTGTGATTGTCAGTGTTGGAAAGGCACCACACACGTGCACAGACGCACACACGCACACACACACACACACGTGGTTTAGATGGATTCTCCATAGGTGTAATGGTTTTTTTACTGTACAAACTGTATTTTGTATCCCCTTTACCTTAACCCTACACTTACACCTACACCTCAAACAAAACTACAGGCTATTTGAATTTCAAAAAACACTGTTTAGTATGTTTTTAAGCCTATTGGTTTACAGGGACACATGATGTGTCCTCATAAACCATGTTGTGTTGTAGTACCCATGTCATTATACACATTTGTTTCCTCATAAACCATGACACACTGTTAGACGCACTCCACTTCTGTATTTGAAATAAAATGGCCTTTATGTTACATTTGCCTCTCTATGTTATTGTTTTAAGGTTGTGTACCAAATGCACTCTTTTTTTTTCTTTCCTGTAGCTCTAAAGATTTTAAAATATCACAGAACTGCATCTCTTCACTTTAAAAATGTTAAGGATGGTAAAGTTAAAGGAGATAAGGAGGTGACTGCACAGATTTATCTGGATGAAGCAGATTCTGTGACTGTACAAATGTCCCTGCTGGAGGAGAACAAAGCTCCATCATCAAAGGTATCATGTTTACTTTATCTAGAATTAAGGCTCAATCTCATCAGTTTATTCATCGGGTTTTAAGCTTTTGATTGCTTATACGCACAACTAAAGCAAACTGATGGACCTACTACAATACACACTAGTAACTGTTAAACTATTTCAGTTCAGACTCTTAGTACAGTAGTAGTAGTAAACTCATCTATGATCTGTAGCAATAATTTGGTATTAATTCTTCATAAATCTTCATTTAGCTGTGGGCATAAAATTCTTAAATGAAATCCCATCAATTGTTTTTAGGTGAACAGAACCAAACCTGTGACTTCAGTAGTATCAGAAGACACAAACAATAGTGAGGATGTTGCAGCGAACAGAGCTTCAAATGATGCTGAGATCTCAAAAACATTTGAAAGGACCCCAGAGACCTCAGCTGTATTTACTGCCCCCCTCCATCAGTTCTGGTACATGCTTCATGCTTACAGAAAGGAGGTAGAGAAAATTGAGAAACAACATGGAGTCATTATGCATGCAGAAGTGTCAGTCTCATTAATATCCACCCAGAATTCAAGCCCTGATTCTGTCTCCAAAGCCTCTGAGGACTTTCAGAATCTTGTCACTGATTGTGTGGTTAATTTTAGTGATGCTGCCATTAATCATAATGACATGAATTCAGATATTGTGAAGCAGGCAATTCGTACCATCCAGTCAGAGGAGGCAAAGTTGATGCTGACCATGTCTGCCAGCGACTGCCGGTTCTTTGGACCAAATAAAATTACAGACATGATTAAAAGAGAGACAACAAGAGTGGATCAACAATTCAAAGACAAATCAAATGAAATGGATGTAGAAAACAACGTTTCTCCACAAAGCAGGTTTTCACTGGACATGGACACTAAGGACCTTCCAACTCAACTTGAGATGGACAAGGTTCATTGGGATCTGATGAATCTTTCCTATAAAGAACAATTGTCACAACTTGAAACAAAGTATGGAGTGTCATTTCATGAAGACAAAGTGCAGAAAAATGTAATTGGACCTCTACAACCTCCGGTTTAGAGAATGCTGTCACCTGGAATGATATTCATCATAAGACCAATACACACGGCGGGCCTCTAAAGTATGAGTTCATTTAACGTCTGTGTTCAATTGTCCGTCATGTCCTGCAAAATCAGTAATCAAACATTACGTGTTTATTTGGCTTTCATGTAAATAAAATAGTGTATCTGAATATGTATATCTATTATTTTTCTAGAAACTTTAAGGTAAATGTGTTGAAGCAGGTTGGAACTAAACTTTGCTGAAAATTGTCCCTCCAGGAGAAGGAGTGGACACAAAACGCAGAAAAACAATGAAAACACAAACACAAAATATAAAGTATAAAATGTTTAATTTATTTATTAATATTTTTTTATTTTTTTATTTACATATAGTTTTGGTTAAGGTTATGGCACAGTAATACATCATATTTATCTTTTTTTTTAGAAGAGGCATCCAAACCCGGGAAACTATTTTCATGGCACATCACGTCATGCATACTTGCCTGACAACCATGAAGGAAATGAAGTGCTCGCACTGCTGCAGAGGGCTTTTGATCAGAAACTGATCTTTACTGTTGGGACCTCTACAACCTCCGGTTTAGAGAATGCTGTCACCTGGAATGATATTCATCATAAGACCAATACACACGGCGGGCCTCTAAAGTATGAGTTCATTTAACGTCTGTGTTCAATTGTCCATCATATCCTGCAAAATCAGTAATCAAATATTACGTGTTTATTTTGGCTTTCATGTAAATAAAATAGTGTTTCTGAACACAGTGGTGTAGCGAGTCAGCCCCGGGCCCATATGCAAAAAATGTGTACGGGCCCCCACAAACGTTATGGGCTCCAACTCGGTTAACTTAACTTAGGCCCTATTGTTGATTTTTCTGAAGTAAATAACGTTACAGCCTCAGTTCAAGCTGCATATGAATCAATGATATTTTCCTCTTTAATATTTGCAGCACGAACTAAACATGAATATTTGAATGCATGTTGAAATAAATCAGAACAATTTAATACAAATGAATGTCTCATGAATCGATCAATCAGAGATTTAAAAAAAGTCTAAAGAATGACGGATGCCACAGACTTTATTTTTTTATTTTTTTGGAGGAGTAGGCCTATAGGTGGAATTTTCACATTAACTTCACGCAGTATAACATGATTTTATTATTGTAATTTTAACTTTATTCTTAGAATATTATGACGTTAATCTTATTTATTTAGTTATTTTTAAACATGGCACAAAAATGCTGCCATAGGCTACTGAATGCAAACACAATTTTGGCACATCAGCCCAAAAAACAAACAAAAAAATTATAATAAAATAAAAAA